GCTGGCTGACTACTCGATAATTAGTTCCTCACAACTATGAGTTTAAATACCATCTAGATATATCTTGTCACGTACATTCCAAATCAAATTCTTAATCTCATTGTTTATATTCTGTGGCATGTTATTTTACTGATTGGCTGGGCAATCTGAGAAAACCAAGACCAGAGGTAATTGCTTGCTTTTACTTTTTGAAGTGTAAATATAGTTAGAATTGCAGTAGAGATTCAGTTACTAACACCTGATTTATGAACTGACTGGTCAACCACACATCTTGTTTGGAACTGGAAGTACACCATCAGGGCAAATACATTCAAACACAGGACTATATTGTAAGCTACTAAAACAAATAAAAGGACTGGGTTTTTTTTAAAGCTATTTGACAAGGAAAGGAAACTGTTTCTGTGCTTATTTAAATTAAATAAAGATAATTAAAAGCAGCAGTTTTCTTCTGCATAGTAAAGTTTCAAAGCTGCATTAAGACAATGTTCAGTTGTAAACTTTTGAAAGAGCAATCAAATTTTTTTTCAGTTACAAACAGTTCAAAGACAGTGTTTCTATTCTGGCAAAATAACTGTCCAAGTTTAACACTTCCTTCGCTTTCTATTTCATAGGCCACTGTATCACATGAAGAAGTGAACACAGCCATTGGAACGGAAGGTCCCTGAGTTGGGGAAAGGGGCTTGCTGGATAGTGTGGACAGAGATAGAATTTCCTTAGAAATCTTTAAGGTCATTTCTATTCTTAAAAGTGATTCTGTGAGAGCAGCATTGTGAGGCTCCTAGTGTAATCTCATTGATTTCCATGCCAGATGTGCTCAGTTTACAACTTCAAACTTCCTTTCCTGCAAACTCTGTTTAGGATCTTAGATTGGAAATGGGCTCACTCTTCTTCACCATCAGTAATGAAGATTATTCCATCAAATTGTACCTTTAGCTGTTAGAACAGTTTTCCCAATTGCTCCAGGAGCTCTGCTTTCAGTGCTGCTGGGGTAACTGTGGAAGCGAGAACTAAAATAGGAAGGACTGCAGAATGTCATCATTTAACATTGCCACTTCTCACATATGAATTATTAGCATTTTATATGAATTTCAATCTATTAAATACTGCTGCATAACCATTCTTACTAAGTAATGCGTACACATATGCTTTAAATAGTTAAATAATTTTTGGTGATGAAAAATAATGCATACGTGAGCAGCAAGAGGAAATAGCAGAAATAGTGATGGCTTTTCACACTTCTCATTCTTTGAAATACTGTGGATTGTAATAACAATGAGGAGTCCTGTATCACCTTATGGCATGTCAACACTAGAGAGTTATTTCGAAAAAACTTCCCTTATTTTGAAAGAACAAGGTGAGCATCCACACTACCAAGCCTGTTTCAAATCTAGCCAAGTAGCCCGTCATAAGACAGGATTTTTCAGATCTTCTCTCCTGAGCTCTCTCGCTCAGTCTCTCCTCCTACTGCCTTCCCCCCCCCCAGCTCTCCTCTGCCTCCTGCCTCTCTCTTTCTTTCTCTTCTCTCTCTCCCACCAATCACTCTATGTTTCTCTTCTCCTCCTACTGCATCTCTCTCAGGGTACGTCTACACTAGCCCCCAGATCGATCTAGAGAGGCTAATGAGGGCGACTGAAATTGCAAATCAAGCCCGGGATTTAAATATCATGCGCTTGATTTGCAAGCTGTCTACATCACCACCACCCCTCTCCTCTCCCACAGCGACCCAGCTGAGGAGCGCACCACTCAGCACCGCAGCGGGAGGAGAAGGGGGGTGGTGACATACACAGCCCTGCCCCCGGCCGTGTACATCTCTAAGGTAGGGTAAAAAAAACCCGGACACCCTTGATCGGGGGCCTGAGAGGTGAGGAACCAGCTGGGAGAGGAGCGGGGCTGGTTGGGAGCAGGGCCGGCTTTAGGAAGTGTGGTGCCCAGTTCGAACAGTTTTGGCGGGGCCCACCACCACCCAGGATTTTTTGTTGAGCAAAACACACACACACACACACACACACACACACACACACACACACA